ACGCAACCGGCGCCGACTGAACAAGTCGCCCAGACTGCAACCGAGGAGGCGCCCACATCGATGGAGGGTACGGACGACTCACAAAACCAACAAACAAACGAAGCGCCGCTCCAGGAGGCGGCAAACCAGGCAGCGGCAGAGCCTGAAGCAATGGACGTGGACCCAGTCGAGCCTCTCGATCCTTTGCAACCCGTCAGTGTTTTCCGGGCGCCGAGCGGCACAACACCAGCAGCTGCTCTTGCGGATGTATCAGAAAACGACTACACGCCGACAATCGCACATGCCCAACTGCACCAGGCTCGACTTCAGCAAAGCTCCCAGAACAAGAGGCTCCTATCAGACAGAGAACTGGAGGCACAGGCTCAGGCAGAGGAGGCAAAGCTAGCGTCTGTTTCGAAAGTTGTCGTGAAAGTCAGATTTCCCGACAACACCTCTGCTCAGTGGGAGTTCGGCCACGAAGCCACCGGCGCCACGCTTTACCAAGGAGTGAGGCAAGCAATGGCACACACGGGTCAAGCTTTTAGACTGGTGATCCCTGGCAGCAAAACCGTCATCAAGGACGAGAACACGCCAAAGAACCGGCTCATCCACGACTACAAGCTGACACGTAATGTTCTTCTGAGCCTGGTTTGGGATGACAGCGTGCCGGCGGATATCCGCAAGAAGCCCTTCCTGAAGGGTGACATTGCGCAGAGGGCCAAAGACATTACAGTACCAGACGTGCCCAAGTACGTAGATGAGAAGGACGACGGTCAGAAGGCGGCCGCAGTGGCTAAGCCAGAGAAGAGTGAAGGAGGTGAGGGTAGTGTGGCCAAGAAACTGCCCAAGTGGCTTAAGCTCCCTGGAAAGAAGTAGACGGAGCTGTTTTCCCTTTTCATGTACAGCATCTAGCGCTGCTCTGTGCGGACGGTGCACAGCATCCATGGGCGGAGTTTTAGGCTTAGAGGGATGGGACCAATGCTTTCGATGACTTGAGCATGTAGAGAGGCAATCATATCAGACATGTCACATTGCACAAGCGAGACTCAGTTCATGAAGTAGGAAATCGAGGCAGCAACGGGCTTGCTTGAAATTTTGGTATTTGTCGTGAAGCTGCAATGCTATCCCATGATGCAAATGCAGCAGCCTTCATCAGAAACTGTGAGGAAGCTTTCCCGGGAAAGAGACCACTTTTGTGACCACACGCCTTATACCCATTTGATACTTTTGTTGCCCAAAACCGACCCCGATAAAAACTTTGCCGCAGTGCAGCGCAATAAACCCGATTTTGATTTGATTTGTTCCGTTTAGTGACCGACACGGCGGGACTCGGCGATGACGCGGGTCATCTCCTCGACCTTTCTCTTGGCACGGCCGAAGGTACCGAGCCTCTTCTTGGCGAGCTTACGGGCACGCTTGTCCTTGGAGTTGCGGAGGAGTTCGATGACACGGCGCTCGTAGGGAGCAAGGCTGGAGAGGGGGGTGGTGGGTTAGCAAGCGTGATGCATGATGATGTTGGTGGACTATCGTCCGCCATGGAGATTGTGTGAACTTACCCGGCAACCTCCTTGACGACGTCACGGACGAAAGAGGTGCGCTTGCTGAGGTGGCCCTTGGTGCGAGAGACACGGGGCTTGACGACGCGAGCGGTGGTCTTCTATATTGGGGGAAAATCACAACCGGTCAGCGTCCATCTTCTGCAGTAAAAGCGAGGGTGCTCGCTCCCCTCGTGGAAGAGAGGGTGTGTTGTGCAGAGATCCTCCACGAGGTGAGACGAAGCGGTGTCATGTATCCTTCAGAAAATTGTTCTCTTCCTCCTCTTTTCCCTCGATCAACCTTCACTCCTTGTCCTCATGAGAATTCCCCTCCCCTTTCGGAGACAAGTTGTTCTTCGAGTTCTTCGGAAGTCGATCGATCGAGAGAAAATCGGGGGATAGTGAAAAATCCTCTTCAGGTCGGGATTGCGAGGCGACGTACGTGACCGTGGTTCAGGCCAGTGGCCAGACCAGAGCGGGCGGGAGCTTCCTTGGCCATCTTGATGCTGCTGATGGACGGTTGGGTTGTCGGGTTAGTATTGTCGTGGTGGTCAAAAGATCAAGAGGCGGCCCTCCGAAAAAAAAGTTCGGGGTGGAATCGAAATTTCGCGAGTGGGTTTGTGTGGTCACGTGCTTTGGGGGTTAGCGAAAAGATCTGGCTGGCCGCGCTGCTGCAGGGTGGGTGCGCTTGGTACGAGCAGCGCTTGTTATCCCCGATGACCTCTGATTGGCCCGTTGGCTATCTAGAGGCAAGTGAGCATGCTTAACAGATTCAGCCGGCTGCTACGTATACATGTGTTAAGACCTTTTTCTAGACGGTCTCGCAGCGCTGTTGTCGCTTCATCTCACCGACTTTCGACATGGACCAACACTCTTTTGGGGGACAAATTTAGATACATGTCTATCGAATGCTGTGCCTCGACTGAAGGCGACGATTCACCGCATGCAGCTCGTATCTGCCCTCGAGCGTAAGAGCCTCCGCGAGAAAACCCACTGCCAGTTCAGCATGGTTGCTTCTTCCAACGTACGTGATTCCCGAATCGGCAAGGACTCTGCCGTGGAAAGAGCCGCGCGTTGGCGCCGTGTCAATCAAGCATTTTTGGCCTTTTGCTGCCCTGTTCTACATCTAAGTAAGTACGGGTATCTTATTTCGTGGACAGCCCAGCCCCCAACCTTTCAGCTTCCAGCCTTCAGCCCCCCTTGAACACCGCCTCCCATGAATGCCTTCTGAACCATGAATTGCGGAGAATAAATCGGCCCATTCAGCCAGGATTTGGCTTTTACCCAAAAGGGGGGCCAAATGGGATCAACATCAGCAAGGACGTTGAAAGGTCCAGCTTGTAAGGATGCCCTGCTGGGAAACATGAAACACCCAGCGGCCAATCAAGGCTGAGCGGCTCCCCTGAACCAAGTGCTAAACGACCAACGCACGCAACGCTGAGCTTGCGGCGTGTAATGCAAGCGAGCATCAACCTCCTCTCCCTCCTCGCCCTGTGCTCCATCTTTAATGACGGCAGTGCTTGCTGTTTCTCCTAAACTGGAGTCACTACTCGTCCAACCCCTCAACTCAGCCATTCCCGTAGGCACGGCCGGACCGGATGATTGCATCAGGATCTGCAGAGAGCTTGCGCGCCTCTGGAGAAGTTTAGCCATGCTCATCCCTCCCGGGCCCCTGAAGAAGTCTGCAAGGCACGCAGCAACGCTAGGGCGGCGGGAGGGAGATCTTTCTGGGTCTGATCCTGCGAGTAACCACTTCGTATTTAAACGTGAAGCTAGCTACGTAGTTGGAAGGACCTGACCGCGAGGATCTGCCTTGGATTTGTTTATAGACCACCCTGCTTGCTGCCTTTCCACGCTCCATCGTTCATCCAAACTTTCCGTCTCTTTTGTCCGAAGCTTGACGTCCTTCACTTGAGGCTCATATCTCCATCTTTGAAACCCCAGCTAGATACTATACACATACCACCAGTCATCATGAAGCTGTCCCTCCTCTTTGCCGCCGCCCCTGCGGCCCAGGCCATGGTCTCTTACATGGCAGCGGTCCCGGACTCCGTCATGGCCATGGCGGACGCAGGCAACTGCAACCTGCCGGACGATTTCCAGATCCAGAACTTTGCTGCTCAGTCTACGGACGGCCAGACGGCGGATTCCTTGGACTTCACCTTCAACGACGACAGCACCACCCTCACCACGCCATGTCACCTCAACTCCTCTTCCGTGCCCGTATCAGGCGACGGTCGCACTCCGAGATATAGCTGCGAGAATTCAATGGTGCAATTTATCTGGCAGAACAACACCATCACTGTGATCGAGAAGGTTTGCCCAGGCGATGATGGGTAAGTGACTTGATGAGGACCTGCCTGGCAGCTCTCGCGCAACAACTAACGCCATCTATAGCGCCGCCGATTACGAGGCATCCGGAACGGCATCCGTTCCTCTCGTATGCAACGGTACCGCCAGCGGAGTGTCTGCGCGGTCGCACAGGCGTGCCAGGAGAGCCGTTGCATGCACATCCAACTCGGACGACATCCGAGCGAAATTCTTCAGCATCCAGCCCGTACCCAGCAGTTAAGAAGGGTCATGTTGAGATGAACATTAAAAAAAGCAAACTACCAAATGGGAAGGATGAAACTGACGCTGAGGCCTGGTGATCGAACCTTGGCATGAGATTTGACATGAACCTAAAAGGAGCAGGGAGGGCCAACATCCTCTCCCGAATCACGAGGAGACAAGAGAAAGACTTGTCCGACGACAAAACTGTACTTGACGAAAATAGAATAATCAATAGACTTCCTGTCCACCTGAGTGAGCATCTACCTTAACATTCGCATGAGACTGCTGAAATGAACTTCCCCAACAAGTTGCGCAGGTGGGCTTTAGGAAGGGGGAAAGCATTGCCATGCCGGCTAGATGCGTCTGACAGCACTTTCGCGGGGCAAAGCAGCCCAACCCCAGGCTTTTCCCCAGCGGGCTTCCAGGGACCGACACACTCTGGACCAACCATACGTCGGCAATCGTCGCTTTGCCGCGCCTCCGCAATCCCACTCAATGGGATGCTGTCTCGTCCTTTTTTCTGCATGGCCGTATGACCTCACCACGCTCACCTCACGAGATCAGTCTGAGACGTCGGTATCCTGTCCTGCTGTGTCGTCGCGGATCCTCCCTCCACGACGCAATTTCCTCTTTCAAGCAGCACGCTCACAAGGTGCAGTTGCCATCATGTGTGCTTGGAAGGTCGGGCATTAACGGCTTTTGCTTACCGTTCTAACGTGGTCATCGTCGCTTCGGTTGCCCACCTGCACTGTCGACCCCATTCCTACCTATTGTTGAGCTGCGTTTTATAATTATCTACGTCCATTCCCCGGCACCGTTGCATCGAGTGGCAGATCCCCCTGCGCAATGTCTCGCGGCCCCGATCATCAACCACAGTCCGCATTTCATAAAGACACCTGAAAGACGTCACGGATCGATATCGCGACCTTCACCATGCGACGTCTGCTCCAACTCGCGCCGTTGTTCGGCTTTCTAGCCACCGCCACGCCTACCGAATCCTCGCAACAACACCCCATCCTTGGCCCCGAATCCGTCACCGCGAATACTCCCCCAACGATATCCGTCGACCTCTTCCGCTCCCTCGAACGCACCTCCCGCATCGTCGACATAACCTACTGCGTCGGCACCTCGGGCATCTCCCAGCCCTTCTCCTGCGTTTCTCGCTGCAACGAATTCCCTTCCTTCAACCTAATCACGACGTGGAACACGGGCGTACTGCTGAGCGACAGCTGTGGCTACATCGCTGTCGACCACGGCGTGCGCCGCCCGGGCGATGAGGACCGCTTCGAAGGCGAGGTCGGCGACAAGGCCGTCATCGTCGCATTCCGCGGGACGTACAGCATCACCAACACCGTCGTGGACCTGAGCACCATCCCGCAGGAGTATGTCCCGTACCCGTCGCCAGACGACGGCGACGAGGAGCCGCCGCGCGAGCACCGCTGCAAGGACTGCACCGTGCATATGGGGTTCCTGGCGTCGTGGCGCCAGGCGAGGAAGCTCGTGCTGCCGGAGCTGAAGAGGCTGAGGGAGGAGTACCCCGATTATCCCGTCCACTTAGTCGGGCACAGTCTTGGCGGAGCGGTGGCGATGCTCGCGGCGTTGGAGATCAAGGTGTCTCTCGGCTGGGATGATGTCATCGTCACGACCTTCGGGGAACCCAAGGTTGGCAATCAGGGACTCTGCGATTACGTTGATACCGTCTTCGAGCTCGACAAGGAGGATGGGGAGGGGCAGAACGCGATGAACAGGACCTACCGCCGCGTGACGCACGCTGGTGACCCCGTGCCGTTGCTGCCGTTGACCGAGTGGGGATACAAGCCGCACGCCGGCGAGTTCTACATCGCAAAGTCGGAGCTGTCGCCGTCGATGGAGGATGTTTTGGTTTGCCGCGGCGACAGCGATTCGAGGTGCATCACGAAGGGCGACGGCGGACTATTCGAGTCGATAGCGCGAGATCTAATCGAGGAAGCGGGTATGGATAAGGAGGAGGGGGTAGTCGAGGCGGAGAAGTCATTGAAGAAGAGACTCCCGGGCTTCCCGACGCGGCTCAAGCTCTGGCAGCTGTTCTTCGCTCACAGGGATTACTTCTGGCGGCTCGGGCTATGCGTCCCCGGCGGCGATCCGGCTAACTGGGGGCGGGGCAAGTACGGCGGCGGACACGGCGGCGTAGCGTCGGACGAGCTTTAGTCGCGGGAGGCGGTTCTTTGGCGCAGACATGGTTTTTCTCTGGCTTGCACTTTTTCAGCGGCGCTTGTAACGCGATACTGTATGGGCATCTGTATGATTGGCTGTAAGGGAACGATGGGGAAAAAGCAATCAGGCGTCTGGTTGGGCCGACGGGCGTTTCTTTCTTTCCTCTCGTCCTCAGATACCTAGGATTCGTAGCATTTGAGGTTGTAACAGAACACAATAGAATTCCCTCAGCGGTCCTTTGGTACCTATCTAAGCTTGAATCGCGGAAAAACCGAAGTGGCTCAAGTCAGGTCTCCGCCGGGCGTGCGAATCAGCAGCTGGAAGGGGAAAGGACGGCATCCGGTGGGCTCATTACTCAGTCAAGGTAGTAAGAGGGCGCGGGCGCATTTCGCCACTTGGGCACGAAGTCATCGTCGAGAGAGAGCAGCATGGGCCTGACGAGATGCAAGGCCTAGGCCGTTGGTAGGCCACGCTATTTTTGCGTCCAGGATACGAGGAAAAAGAAAAGGAACTGGGCCGTTTTCTTCTGAAGGGCTTCCAGCAGTCATATCTCTCCACAGGTTCTAGAGAAGCTGAGCTGCAGTTCCTCTCGGCGGTGAAGTGGGGGTTGGCCGAGACACGCACGACACGGGTTCAACGATGGAAGCTGTGGCCACGCGAGAGGAGGACCATTACCTCGTCAGCAGCCGCAGCAGTAGCAGCAGCAGTATGCGGGCGCGCCGGGAACAACAGGCCGGGTGGATACTAACGGCCTTTCACGTTGAATTCCTCGCGGACTTTTCGGTTTCTACAGACTGCGCGCGGTTCCTCGGTGCCGTGGACGGAGACTTTTTATTTTGGTGCTCCCCCCTCCCCCTCGTCTCCAGTGAGTGATCATACGCTGGGCTGCTGGAAAGCAACATCAAAGCTTCCATTGGGGCTTGTTCGCATGAATCTTTGGACCTATGGCCCAGGTCAAGGGTTCATGCCACTTGACGAAAGACGGGATGCCGGGGTAGCGAAGGAAGATGGGAGGGGAAACTCAAAGCTGCACCCCCGTCCCCCCGTGTTAAGCAAGGCGAGGTAAAAAAGGGTAGAGCTTGGAGAAGGAGCCTGGCACTGCCAACGCACACAGGTGTCTCTGTTGGGTTGCAGTGGTCGGGATCGCGGAAGATTTTCTGGTTTGGCGCTGCGACTTGAACAAGGCCTGGGAGGATGCCACGCGATAAGGCGACCCTTGGGACCTGTAGGCTGTTGGGCGGCTGCGAGTCGCCTGTTCGACCCGAATGCATGGAGGGGGAGGGGGGAGATCCTGCCCATGGGCTGTGCTGGATGTGAGTCACTGATGTGTGTGCGCTGTGAGGGCCGGCAGCGACGTTGGAGGGTGGGAGGGCGAGGAAAAAAAATTGGGATGAAAAGGGGTGGGATGGGCCATGAGATCAGAGATCAGAGGTTTAAAGTGTGTGAGATCATCAGAGCTCCCGGTCTGGGCCGGCCAGGCGGATGTCTAATCGGTTGCTTGTCGCCGTCTCGTCGCTGCCGGGCTGGGGTTCGACGTCTGAAGCAGAGATGACATCTCAATCTTTCACGTTTCACTCACTGGGATGCCCGTGAGGGGGAAGAGACTAGAGAGAGAGACGGCCGAGGATGACGGGTGATGCGTTGATCGTATGGATGGCATCTCCACCACCCCAGGCTTGAAACCGGTTTCTTTGGGGTCAAGATCGAAAGCACGACAGCAGATTTGATGAACGATCGGGTATTTTGCGCCGCAGTACACGAGCAGCCGCGGGCAACTGGTGGGCAAAGAAGTTTCGTGCATGACACGGCACCGCCCTCTTAAGAAGCATGCGGACCAGCAGCATGAGAGATGCAGAGAAGGCCGCCGCAAGAGCAGGGTTGGCGGTCGAGAAGGGCCGTTGTGGTTGGACGGCTCGCCGGGTGGGATCGTGGCTTAGTCGGCCGAGTGGCTGCCTCCCCCGGCATCAGAGCGCCGGTCTGCGAGACGGGCATCGAGGACAGAGGCGCGCTTCTTTGAAGTAATTGGCCAGGAGAGAAGACGCCAATCCGTAACTCGACATGAGCAGGTGATGCGCAGCACTGTCTCTCGTGGTATTTGTCTGTCATGGGAGTCTTTCCAATGATCGGAGCCACCGCCCATTAGATTGTTTCCCAGGGTCCGTTGAAGCTCATAATGTCGTCTGTTTGTCCGCTTTGGCGAGCAGTCAATTTCCCTTGATCCGCACCCGTGATATAACGAAGATGTGCCTCCAGATGGACGAGGTGCGCATGAGTCGAAACGAATGGTGAGGTTGACGTTGAGTCACAGGTTTGGTGCTTGTCATTGAGTTCGAGACAACCTGGATGAGGCGCTGATCCGAGACAACATTGGATGGCATTCGACATTGTACATGTCAATCCCCAGGTTTGGTGGGAGATAAGCCGCGCAGGAGATTCCCAAGACCAGGAATTCTCGAGGTACTCGTGAAGAGATGACGGGCAATCTAGAGGGGCATTTTGGCGTAATTAGCAGTAGCAAGTCCTGGAACCCGCGAGGGCTTCAATGGGATGTATGTCAGAAAGCCGATTGGCAGCCCAATGAGTCCGTGTGTCTGTGCAATGTCGACTTGTGTCGCTGAAGGTTACGCCATCGATGTGTCCAAACGTTGGGTTGGGCAGAGGTGAAAGTGACAGTGAGGACGACAGCCAGCACCAAAACCCAAGCAAGCATGAGCAAGCCAATCCTGGCTTCTCACTGGCCGAAGGGTCCTCGCGGCTTCCAGACCCACCTCTACCTTCCCTCACGGCATGCAGTATGGGTGCTGCTTCCCCGCTCTTGCCTCACCACACACCCTGGTTGTACGTATCTTGCACCTGCTGCAAAAATGTGCTTTTTTTCCTGTCTCGTGATTCCCCCCTCTCTCTGGTGATTCTCTCTTGTTCCAGGCAAATCTACGCAACAGTGTTCGCTGGCCTGTTCCTGATGACACCCCCCAGAGTCAACTCATCAGCCGAATGCCCCGCCCCTCACCTCACCACCCTCTTGCTCTTGTTGCTGTGCTGTGCTATGCTGTGCAGTGCTGCGCTGGCTCATCCACCAGCGAACGCCGCCCAGCACACATTTCAGTTGAGCACACCCAATGGAAGCAAATGACCTTGGCCTGGGTTATCTATGGCCCCCTCCGAAGGCTCAAGTTGTATCGCGCATTTCTTTTCTTTAATTTCCTGCTGGAGATGTGACTTGGGTAATCTCAGGCTCGGGTCAAGGCGGCCTCAATCATCGAGAATAGCTTGGAAAGTACCTCGGGACGGTGCTGGCAGGTGTAGAAGCCCACTGTCCGGCAACAACGGACCTGTGATGTTTACATAGTAACTCTCAGGACCCGTCAGTATGAGATGCGAGGTCTCTTTGATAAGCAATGTCATCATGTCGCAAGCTTTGCATGGCCTGCCATGTAGCTTCTATACTTATATGCCTTGCTTGGCCCCTTTTGCCGGCTGACGGACCACTTGTAGACTTGGTGATACGGCAGGGCAGCTTTGCCTTTGAGCTTCGATGAGGCTAAACCCAAGGCTACTGCTCGCCAAAGGGACCTCACCACATGTGCTAATTCTAATTTGCCATGGCGTCCCCGTCGAGTCCCATCCCTCGACCGCCCTGCTCCTCCTTCTGAGGTAAGGTAGGTAGCCACAATGGAAGAGCTCAGCCGGCTTCCGGTGGAATAACGTCGGTGAGGTAGACAAAGTGAATTGCACCAACCCAGCAGCAAATGTGAAGAGAATTGCAGCCTCAGAGAGCTCACAGAGGACCAAAACCCCCGCTCCGTACCCCTTGCCAGCCCATTCACTCTGCCCGTATCTGTACCGTCCTAGTAAACTTGGGCCTAAGGTACAGGCGAGCCTAGCCCAGCCCAGCGCCCCGTTTCTCTTGCCCTCCCGCCAAATTGGAACCTGCCCATGGCCCCCATGCCCTGGACCAGGACCTGAACCCCCCGAGCCCCGAGAGCCTGACCAGCAGCGAGCTGGGCATGGAGGGCAGCCCACCAGCTCACAGAAGGGGACGTGGTGGGGCGTGGCAGCGGCAGGTGAGGCCAGCAGACTGGACACCCGACCAGCAGTGGGCATACCTTCTGGATAGCACCCTCGAAACGGCAGGGTATCTTTGGAAGAAAGAGAGAAAAGGAAAAGTACCCAGGTGAATTGAATAGTAGTGGAGGTACTGTACAACGGTGAAGGGACGGCACGGCACCGCCGCCCCCAGCGACGGCCCCAACCTGAGAGAATCAGAGGAAGGAGCGACCTGAGGTAAGGTAGAGACTTGGGTTCTTGCCTTTTGGGGGGAAGGGGGACTTGGGGAACTTGGACCAACCCGACTAAAATCTTCACCTGCTGCTGGCCTCGCACCTTCGCACCTCGCAACTTCCCTCTGAGAGAGACTCCCCCTCCCAAAATAATTCGTCACACGTAAACACACCCTCCGCCTTCCTCCCTCTCCCACACCACACCTTTTTCTTTCTACAACACCAAAACAAAGCCGCGTCTCCGTCTTCCCCCAACAACCCGACGCACGCCTACAGAATATCCTTTCCCAACCTCTGTTATCCCCTTTCCACCCACTCTCTACCTAATCGCAAGATCCTCAAATAACCACAGCTCAACATGTCTTCCGGCGATGTAAGTACCATTTCCCCACGCTGCCCAACGCCTCTCCAAAACCCCTCCGCCCCTCGTTGCCTGCCTGTGCTACGCCAGCAACCACCACGATACCATCCTCGATCCGCCGTCCATTCCGCGCGTCAAATTTTGGCACAGATCCCGAGATTCAGGATCGGAATGGCTGGCATCTGGCCTCTACCGGCACTCTATGCTTCCCTCTTACCCCAAAACACCTCATTGCTGCTATCCCCGACAGGAAATGATGCTGACTTCTGCCCCTCTTCCAGCGTGAAAGGTTTGTGACGAACTGCCTCCTCCTCGGCGATGGGCCACCACCATCACATCACACCACCTCTTATGCCGGGGATCTTGCGCGCAGCTTTTTACTGACATCCCTATTGCAGCAAGACCTTCCTCGCTCGCCTTTGCGAGCAGGCCGAGCGCTACGATGAGATGGTCGGTTACATGAAGGAGGTCGCCAAGCTGGGCGGTGAGCTGAGCGTCGACGAGCGCAACCTCCTCAGCGTTGCCTACAAGAACGTCGTCGGCACCCGCCGTGCCTCCTGGCGCATCATCTCCTCCATTGAGCAGAAGGAGGAGAGCAAGGGTTCTGACAAGCACGTCGGCACCATCCGCGAGTACCGCACCAAGATCGAGACCGAGCTTGAGCAGGTCTGCCAGGATGTCCTTGACGTCCTCGACGACTCCCTTATCCCCAACGCCCAGACCGGCGAGTCCAAGGTCTTCTACCACAAGATGTACGTTTTTCGATGCCACCGCCACTTGCATCCCGTATCCGCTCTTGCCCCGGAACTAACCGCTGTGTCCCACAACGCAGGAAGGGTGACTACCACCGCTACCTTGCCGAGTTTGCTTCCGGCGAGAAGCGCAAGGGTGCTGCCACCGCTGCCCACGAGGCTTACAAGGTGAGAATACACCTATCAATGGTTTCACGCACCCTCGAGAGGACATACTTATTGACTTGCCGCCTTTTTGCAGAGCGCTACCGATGTCGCTCAGACCGAGCTCACCCCCACTCACCCCATCCGCCTCGGTCTCGCCCTCAACTTCTCCGTCTTCTACTACGAGATTCTGAACTCCCCCGACCGTGCTTGCCACCTGGCCAAGCAGGCTTTCGATGATGCCATCGCCGAGCTCGACTCCCTCTCCGAGGAGTCTTACCGCGACAGCACCCTCATCATGCAGCTGCTCCGTGACAACCTCACCCTCTGGACCTCTTCCGACAGCGCTGACGCTGAGGGTGCCGCTGCTGGCACCGCCGATGCCCCCGCTGAGGAGAAGAAGGAGGAGGCCAAGGCCGAGGAGCCCAAGCCTGCTGAGGAGACCCCTGCTGCCTCCTAAGTTCTGTCTTACCCTGATACCACACCATCTCGGTTGACGACACGACTGAGATGGCTCGCCTACTCGGTTGGTAGGTCGCGCCTCACGCAGACCTGCTGATACCCGGATTTGACCAGCATGTTTCAGCTGGCTGATGATATCTGCGACTCGCGTTGGGGATCTTGGCACAAGGGGGGGCTTTTGGGGATTCGGACGCGGAGAAAGGAATAATGCGTGGCATGAATCCGTTTTTTGATTCCTTGGATTCAACCTAGGTCTGGAACGGTCTCTTTCATAAGAGACTTGGGAGGATTTGAGGACTTTCTTACTTGGCAGCTAACTACCAACCTTCCTCTTCTTCAAACCCCACACCCAGGGCCATTCTCCTTTTGTTCATCAGCGCGAATCCTGCTTTAACCCCATGTGCTGGATGGTTTACGGCTGTCTTGTGTTCTCTTTTCGGTTTTCCTCATAGTGGTCCTTACGTTGTTGCGTTTTCTCGGGAGTGAGAAAGTGTTTACCCCCCCAATGCCCCTGTCTATTCAGTCTACAAAGACAAAAAAGAAAATCACAAATGTTCATCAACTGTTGTGTTCTGTGGTGAGATGTACGTGTGAATTTTGTGTGCGTACGTGGCTTGACATGTGATCAAAGGATTGCTGACATGCTTGATTGACAAAGGCGGTGATATGGTACACACAACTCCGTGCCTTCTTGTGGGCACTCACATTCGCGGGACGATGGAATTACATAAGGATGCAGAAGGATAAACAAAATGGTATTTCCCAAGCTGGTCTGTTTCTATACCAATTACCAGTATAACAATACAAAACGCCAGACACCGCCCTATTGTGTTTCGTCAACTTTAACACTGGATTGCGTAGTTACAAGCCTTCCCCCGCCCATTAATATAATTTGTATCATGTGTGCTGTATACGACGGCAGCATCAGCTCATTAGTTGCGATGTGACCTCACAAGCAACCTCTGGGCACGACGAAGCCTTGCTTGCTTCTCACCAATCACGTCCCCGGACTCGAGGTCGTCCATGGCGGCGGCTTCAGCTTCGGCCTCCGCTTCCGCGATGGCGGCGGCGGCCTTGTTGGCACCGGCCAGGTGAGCGACGGTCGCGCGGCGGTACATGCTCGTGGCCTCGTCGGCAGCCCGTGGCGGGAGGGGCCCGGTCTTGCCGCCGCCGCCGCTGCTGCTCCCGCTGATGCGGCGGACGAAGTTGCGCATGCCGCGGAAGATGGCGTGGTTGCCGTGCTTGGTGCGGAAGAGCATGAGGCTGCCGCGGCGGTCACCGAAGGTGCCGCTTCCGAGCAGGCCGCCCGAGTGCTGGATCTCGTCGAGGTAGGCGGAGGAGGGCTCGAGGCCCATTGCTGAGGGGGCGCCGAGGCGGGAGCATGTCGGGCAGTAGGTCGGCTGGGAGGGGAGGATGTCGCCGCGCGGGAAGGAGAAGGCATCGCCCAGGCCGCCGCCGGCGGAGGATGAGGAGGACGAGGCGGAGAGGGAGATGTTTGTCGAGGATTGGGATGCGGCTGGGGAGGTTGGCGGGCAGGTGCAGAGGGACGCTGAGGCTGCGACCTCCTCGCGCCAGATCTGGATGCGCATCTGCTTCGAGATGGACGGGTCGTTGAGAGACATGGTGGCCGTTGGTTTGGTGAGAAAGATACGGGGTGGTGGTGTGTGAGTCGACAACGGGGTTGTGGCTCGTGTATAAACGACGTGCGGTGGTTATTTCTCTTGGGCCGTCTTGAGTTTCCAGAAGACGGCGACGGGTAACGTAGGACGTGCTCTTGGATAGTGAGACCGTGAGAGTGGTGCGTGGCTGGCCTTGTTCTGTTCGGTGTTGGTATATTGGACGAGAGGGCCTTTCTTCTGCTTCCAAGACCGAGGAGAGGTTGGTGCTCGCGAAGGTTTGCTTCAAAACTAGGTGTAGTCGTCTGAACCGTGTGTGTCGACAACGTTCGTCTGTCCGTTCCCACGTTGCGGCGGTTGGATACTATTTGTCCCCAAAGGCTATTTCGTATAGTGTGCGGAAGGAAGAGAGAAAGAGAGGAAGGAAGTGATGCGGGTGAAGATGTCGAAAGGGGGGTGTGTAGGTTATTAGAATCAAGATGGGCTTGAAGTTTTGGTTGGGGCACGGGACCAGGTTTCTGGATGAGTGGTTGCCGCGCCTTTGAACTCGGGCAGCTTTGCCTTTAGCTTGATATCTCCTTTCTCATGTGCTTCGGTAGTCCTCCAAGAGTATTTAGTCGGCGCCAACCCCGGATTCTAGTGACCCTTCGGAGGGGCGAGCAGCGCGGCAGTAGTGGCAGCAACGGCAGCTGTAGCTAACAGAACAAGGACGAGAGCCAAGACTTGAGGGTGTGGTATGTTGGTCCGGGAAGATTGAGGGGGGACGGATGGATGGGTGACGAGTTTAGGGAAAGAGAAGAAAGAACTTGAGGTTGGTAAACGGTATTGTCAGAAGATGAATGGACTGTATGTGTGCGTGTGGTTTTTTTTGTGTGGAGGGGACGAGTCAAGGCTCGAGTTCTTGTCATCCGGTCTTGCTAGTAGGTGCAGATTCTCTTGCGATGGGTGGGAGAACGGATCCTAGCGAGACACCTACGGGCGTATGAAACAGAAATGAGATACAGCAGCAGCAACAGCAAGAAGCAGGAGGATGAGTGCATGCAATGTATCCTGCCCGTCAAGTGTGCATGAGTGAGCCGAAATATCGTGTCAAGAAAAAGGTCTGGAAACGCCCGCTAGAATGGAAGGAAGAAGAAAGCGTCGCAGTCAACGGGGCTTGTGACTGGGTGGCAGGCGCGGTAGTTCCCAGGCAAGGGGGGGTAGCAGTTGGTAGCCCAAAGGGCGGTGATCCGTTCAAGCTATGGCGTTGGGTGATGATGGCTGGTGTGGTGTAGTTCGATGCAGGTCTCGCAAGGAAAAACAAAACAAGTCAACAAGGTCGACGAGAGGCGTCGCGAGAGAAATAAAAACGATTAAAGGCTGGCTGGCTAGGCTGGAGTGGTGGGGTGGCTTGGCAATAGCAAGTGTGTTGTGTCGTCGTCGTTGTCGTCGTAGGCGTCGTTTCGTTTCGAACCGAACCTGTCCGTCTCGTCTGTCGTTCGGCCCTGGAGTGAAGGCAACAAACCCTGCAGATATTTTCCCGCCAAGCTCGGATTGAGGGTGGTAGTGGAGGTGGATAGATCGGCAGGTGATTAAGCAGATAGGTCAGGCCGTAGGAGCAGAAGAGGGAACGGCATAGGCCCTTTTCAGAATTAGGTGTGGTGCTGGTTTCCTTTTAGGTTGATAAGGCGTGGTTTGGAAGAAAAAAGATGGGACGGGTGGAAGGCGAGCCGGTTGACACTATGTGCTGGTGAAGCAGACCGGCTCTCGCGCCGCTTGCAAGCGAAGAAAGATTCTGGCGAGTCTCAAGTCGTGGTGAAAGGAAGGATGAGAACGTCCCGCTATGCGCTTGCTGCTTGGACGTTGCTGGTTTGGGGATCGCGCTGGCCCCGCGATCGGCAGGTGTTCACGTCCCTATCCCGGTTGACTCCTGGGTGGGTTTTTTGGTGAGGTTTGTGGAACCCCTGGACTGCGCTGGTCTGCCGCAACCGGAAGACAAGATGGAGCCAAATCGAAGTTCACGCAGCACGCTGGAGACTGGAGGGAGAGGCAGCGTGAGAGAGCTGGTGGATGGTGCGGCGGTGCGGTGCGGCGCGTGCAACGACTCGGGGTCACCCTGTTGGTGTCACTCCACCCCTTGTACGTTGTGGCGTCTCTTTTCCAGGTGTGGTTGGGGACGGGGGCGTGGGCATGACCTGGGCCTCGCGACTCCAGCTTCGGGCTAATGCCGCTGTCAGATGTCAAGGGCTGCTTGTTGAAAAAGGGGCGGGCAGGTGGCTCGTGGAGATGATTGGAAGCGGTGTGGTGATGTGATGGTCGCTGATGATACCAGTAGCGGTGGAGAGACAGGCGGCGGACGGGGAGGGCTGAGATTTGGGCAAGTATGCGGATCTCGACTTGGAAACCGAATTCAAGGGTCCATCCATCAGCTCAATGAGGGCTGCTGTTCCTGCTGCTGCTGCAAAAGATGGTGAAGTAAAGACTTGCTGGAATGACGTTTTGTGTGTGTGCTGGTGGCAGAGACAGGGAACCCAATTGGGTTGGGTCCCCGGCTCATCCCACGCCGCGGCGCCGCTTCCAGAGCACCTCCTCAGAGCACTTTGTGAGTATCATCCAAGATCTGAGAACAATGGCTGCCAGAAGACGCCAGTCAATTCCCGGGGCACGGCAGTTGAAGAATCGTCTCAGCAATGCGCCTGTCTGACGCGCGTTTTTATATTCTTTCAAGGCGTTCAATCATGTCTACTGGTGCTACAGCAACAGCAATCCGCCGAATCCTTTTTGTTTTTCTTTTCCCTACCAGCCGACTTGACCCAAAGTAGTCTTGTCTATTTGTTCAAACGACGCCCGTCAGCGCTCTCGACTTCTTCTTGTCCCGAAAACTCAAATCTTATCACACTACTTCTGTGTACTGGGGACAAGCGTCTCCCAGCTTCCTATGTCGCTATGATTATCTTCGCCCAGGGAGTCTAACAAGTCTACTGGTGCTGGTTTCCTCTGGATTTTGGCTGGAATCAAGGGCTTTTGTCGTGCTTCGCTAGGTCTCATGCCCGGAAGTGCAATCGCCCCCGCTGGAGACTGCCTTCCTGGCATGTTCAATGTTTCCGCCCTTTTAGGCGGGGGCTTGGCCGGTGCACCTACTGGCTTCCTCACGACGCCGCCGCCAACGCCCGAACTCGTGGTTGACAGCCCCGTAGAGGCTCGTACTGGCAGCGGCGGCCTGTCTGATGGGTCGTCATCACGATAGCCGTTCCCGTCGTTTACCAATGCAGGCGCCGTGGCCAAATGTGCTGGTTTCTTCGCGACGGGTGGCGCCGGCTTACTTTTGGACTGTGTCGAGGATTGGGACACGGCTGAAGAGGGCCGTGGAACAGCGGGTGGTACTGTCTGCGACTTGTTGGAGGGTATCAGAGGCGCTTGATTCATCGTCAATGGGGCTGCTTGAGTTGCGGCCATGCCTCCGGTCTGCCTCCTAGGCGGCGGAGGCGGGGGTGGTGTCTCGCCTCGTTGCGATGACTTCTCGTCTTTGATGTTCAGTCTGCCTATCTTAGCTGGCATAGCTGACGGGTCGAAAGGTGGAGGCAGCCTCCTAGCCGTCGTACTCGTTGCGGACGATGAGAGGTCGCTTGGTGCGTAGACGTGTTCATACGGCGATGTCGACACACTCGAAAAAGATGATAGCCTCGACCGCGGAACGTTGACCCAGTCAGGCTCTGTCGTTGGTGTGAAGGGATTTGGTGGCCTATTGGGATTCAGAATCGTCGTGTGCCCGTCGGGAGCTCTGGGCTGCTTGATATCGGCTCTTGCTTGCTGCTTGTTCTCCAACCACCACTTTTGACGATCAGAACTGGCTGGAGGCAGTCCGGGCTCGATGGCCTCGTAGCCAATCAGGTCCTCATCGTCGGTCTCTTCTGAGTCCAGGTTTGCCGTTGAGTCGCCAACTTCGGCTTTTCGTCGTTGATAGAGGTCATGGCTAATCCTGTCGCGAAGAGTTTCGTCCACGATGCTTACGTTGCATTGGAAAATTGCATACACTGGCCGGTGGTCTGAAAACTTGAGTGGTGCTGAATTGTAGGCAAGTTGACGGAGATTGGAGCCCTTGCGCAAAATGCGATCGGTCCAAGCCGGTATTCTCTGCTTCTCACTAGAGGAAATCAGTCGCGAGCTGGCGTATGACAAGCTTAGGTACTCACGAAGTATCGTATTCATCGGTTCCGAGATCGAACTTGTAAGTGGGCAGAAAGTTGATCCTAGCCTCAGAGTAGTACGGGAACGCCAGACCCGCGATCATTTGCAGGTTTAACTAAACACAAATCAGCACTGGGGAGCCTGACGAGGAGAGGCTACGCACTTGGTCGTTCTCGTAAAGCAAATCCAAATCGTGCTTCTTAATCAGCGTACGAACAGCTTCCGAGGTTAGGCCAATTCGATAGTTGAAGTCTCCCAACCACACGACAGCGTCTGTGTCTTGGTTAGCCAAAGCCCAGCATTCGTACATTAAAGTTGATACGCACCATGGTCATCAATTCCGCGGTTTCGCTGGAAACGCAGGCCGTGATGAATTGTCGCATAGTCTCTGTTCCTCTCATCGTAGTTCGAGAAGCCTGCGGCCAGATGGGCTGTCACGAAGCAAATTTGGGTATTTGCAAAGTCAAACCGAATGGCTACGGCTCCCTTGTTGCCTGCCATTCCTGACAGGCCAGTCTTCTTTACGCTTCCTTCCACGTTCTTGATCTTCGCCAACGTAGATGCCTTGACGAAAATACACAACGCGGCTCCAACAAGCTGCCCACTTCGAAGGAGGACGTATCTCTCTCCTCCGAGTGCCTGAGCACGCTGATTGAGACACCTTCTCACTGCGCTTTCCCAGAGCTGCTTCCGCGAAGGGTCGCTGTTCATGATTTGCTGTGGGCTCAGCTCAACAATTTCTTGGAAACCGACGGCAACGATTTCAGGCTGCACATCTCCAAGCTCGTCGGGGGAGAGCCACTGAGCTAAGTCGGAATCCACACCCTCGGTGCGGCCGTTGAGATTGAAAGTGCCGACCAACCTACAGTTATAAGCAACTATAACTTATCGTAAGAAAAAGCGGACTCACATTGTAATGTCCTGCACAGAGGAGTACTCAGCACTACGCTTGGTAAGTTCACCAGAGACGTAATCGCTAATTGGGTCGAACAGGAGAACTGGCGCTTGGTTGACAAGGCGTCCAAGCAGTCGATCAATCGTCGTTTGCCTTGCCGAATCGGTAAAGTTGTTGTGGTAAAGTCGCTGCACAGACTTGCGCATATCTGCAACAGCACCAGCCAGCGACATCTTTCCATTGCGGGTAAAAGATGATTTTAGAGCACCAGTTCCGGCGTAAATCTTGGACAAGGCATCTCCGTTGTCTGCCCACAGGGTTGAGTGTCTCATCCAGAAGTCTTGCGTAGCATACTCCCCCTTGTGGCCCAAAAATGCTTCTGTGGCCATCTGGGAAATGAGAGTCTGAATCAGATTCGTTCTGTCCAAGCAATCGAGGCAGTTGGTACGGAAGACGCCTTCTTGTTGAAGAACAACCACCATCCGCGCGGCACCCTGTGCATCTGCGTCCGGGCCAGCGTCATCCGACTCTTCGGCCAAGTAGTACGCAAACCCATCCGTAGAGTTTTCAATGTATCTGCGGATCTGACGGGCGGCCTCGTACCCTCCGGGGCCCTTCGTCTCGGCATGAAAGTCGTAGTGGGTTTCTCTTAGTAGTGCGTGATCCTGAGACTCGTCCTCTCCGACCTGGCTCAATGGGCAGTGCTGTACCGCGAGGTGATACAGCTGGCTGAGTTGCGCCTCACCGGGCTTGCCCTCGCTAAGGAGGTTGACGACATGAACAGCGCCGTAGGCTCGCTCCAGCTCATCGAAATGCTTGTTGAACGCCGGCTGAGCTCCCTCGGGAGACCTAATGACGGTGATGTTCTGTTTACCGGGAATAAGCTCGGCGGTCTGTTCCCAGAAGAGCGGTACAGAGCCTCTGACTTGGGCATAGGAGAACAAGGTGCCTCCTGGACTCCAGTACATGGTTTCCGTCTCAACGAAATTAGCAACATTGCCATCGTCGTCAATGCCTCGAGAGTTGAATCGAGTTCCGGCCCTCCGACTTGACAGACGCGAAATGACTGTCAAGTACGATGGCAGCCCGGTTGACCTTGTTCTCAGAGGAGCACTTGTTTGTGGGATTGCCATCGTACGGCAGAAGCCACGGATAGCTGATGTCAGAAACCGCGAATGGTCAAGTGCGTCGCGCTCCTGGGGCAACAGCCGAGACCTGAACTGAACCAGCGGACTAATCATGAACGAATTCCACAAAAATGAGTCGTCAAAGTTGTCGATATCAAATACAGATGAGTTCACCGTTCTGAGACTGTCAGCTGCCTGTAAGCGCACTGCGGGAATGTCCTTCTTACCTGTCCTGTAGTCTGTTTGTCAAATCGAAGTCGGTGCTGTAGTAGAATGTTCCATTCCCCAAAAGCTTGCGCAGATCTGTACAAGGGTGCTCGAGGGTTACCTCGCGTCCTCTCAGGTTTTGACCATAGACCGAGTTGACATCCGACATCTCGGAGTCCAGAGGGTCCAGAGAAACCACATCATCCCACTCGCTGTTGTTGAGACAAAAGAAGGCAACGCTTGCAATCCGCTCCACGGTCTCTCCCGGCCTAAGGGTGGCAACTCTTGTGGCATGTGTTACGACGGAGAGGAACACATCTCCTTCCACGGATATCAGGCCCAATGTTCCGTAGATCGGTCGCGGCGTCAGGGAACGGTAATCGGCTAGTGTTTTCTTTGTGATCTGAGTGAACTCGACCATGCATTTCGCTGCGGCGCCGTCGCCTCCGTTGGGTCGCGAGCGGGTGGATGCGAGGGAAGTGAGGGAGCCGTTCGCGGCCGCGCCGGTGCTGTTAAAGTTGTAACGGAAGATGAGTGCGTGAGAGGACGAAACGATCGCAATTGAGCGATGGGGGTAGTCGCGAATGTAGAGCTTGCTAGACTTCTCGGGCGCCGGCACCTGAGAAGGCCACGAGCCGGAGCTGGCGTAATCCATGGTTGCGATGTAGGGGTGAGGTGTTCGGTGATGCGTTTGTGTCGCAGATCATGCTTGAATCGAATAGCTGGCCTGCGTTCATCGAAGGGTGCCGTCGTCAATGGCCGAGCCGAGAATGGTCTTGGAGACGACTGGGAGAAGACGCAGGTCGCAACGAGGCGTCGTTGAGCAAGAGATGCGCGGTGGCCGCGGCACAGTGGGATTGAGGTCGCCAAATGTTCAACTACGGATGCCGTGGCTGACTGTAGCGGGATTTGGGTTGCCTATGCGGAGCCCAAGGATGACGTCCGTCCCACCGGAGGTACAAGGTGTTTAGAGCTGGACCACTACCTTTAGCGCCTGAGCTCCGCCTGGGAGGCAGCTCGTTTCAGCCTCACAGACCACCGAAGGAGGAAGCTGTCCAAATTGCACATGTCGACATTCCGCACCTCACTAGGTACGTACCCACCATCTCGCCCTGGCGGACCCTCTCCCGTAGGATGCTTCCAGCTGGAACCCAGCATATGAATGGGTCGCCAGACTGCGGCCATACGAAGCGAGCCGTCTATTCGGTGAGGTTAAACTGCAAATATTCCGACTTGCTGAAACGAGGGTTAGGGACCAGGACGGAAACTGTCACCTCACCGTGCCTGAAGTTACTTTGGTAGACAGGCCAAGACCAGACATGCGACGAACACCCAAGAAGACTCTACAAAGGATGTATTCAAGAAGAGCTAATATTTGGATTCACTGTCCACAAGGCAACTTGCGAACTTCTCGAAAGGAGCTTGTACGAGTCGGGATTCGGCATACCTCGGCGGATCATAGTTTGCCCCCCTGACGCTTTCTTTCCTCCTATTGCTGCTCTCATGGTTGGACTTTTACCCAAGCCTTAGCCGCCTCATTTGAAGTCTTTCAGGGCAGGATATGGAAAATGAGAGAGAGAGAATATGGAGGTTACGGCGCGATTTTCGAAGGACATGATAACGGCATGGAAGCGAGGTCGGTCAACTTGCTGTAGCTTAATACGATGGCCAAGACGGCTACTGGGACTCCTCCGAGATGATTTGGCCTTGAGTTGACATAGAGATCATGAGAGCACAGAGTCCTGTACTCACCATTCTTAGGTAGCTTCCTTCGAAGCTAATCTCTATGTCAGGGAGGTCGAGGGACTGTCGCCGGTATGCAAGGCGTTTGGGCAACCTCGCCCCCTACGCCTGTCTTCCTCTTCTAATCAGGTGCACAATCATTGTACATGGTCGTGACAGAGGCATCTCACGAACATGAGAAAGTCTCATCATCGTACGATCTGCTTGGCAGTACTTCTCCAGGCATAATTCTGCAACGGCATCGGTCTCGAGTTCCGCGTGGTTTACACGGTGCGGCCTCGTTGATCACCAAATCATTTAACCTTCAACATCAACATATTCCGATGCCAAGTGTAGTCAAAAGCAACAAAAGTAGCTATCCATAGGACCAGAGCCATCAAAGCATCTGTTTCGTGCTATTGCACGCGGAGATCCAAAATCGTTGCAAAGTCCCCGAGACTCGGATACTCGGAGCCTCTGTGACAGAAAATGTCACTCCTTGACAGACAATAGGAAACCGAGTCGCGCAAGCTAAAAAGGGGGGTGTCGCGCAACAACACTTTAGGAGTGCTCCGGAATTGACCATGGGCATAAACGTCAACTTCGAGTCTTGCGATAGATAGAGTGTGTGGGGGTACAGCGGGAAAAGGGGGAAACATGAAGATGAGACGCGGAGGTGACAACGACCAGGCCTTGGGGAATCCCATGCAACGGGAAGAGGCGAATTATCAATGCTTTACGCATGCCAGGCTTCAGATTAAGTGAGTTGAGATCACGCCGCCACCTTGGGTGAGCAGTCATTCTCTTCCTATCATGTATTTTTGGGAGATCATCATAAGCCTTTTTGATATGTAGAAGAGGAAAAGAAAGAGTGAAAGGTTTTTCGTGAGTATCAGACGTCAAATAGGATCCACGCAGAGCCCGTCTGCTTACCTAATACGCGACGAAGTGCGCCAACGAAAAAAAATTCAGGCAGACGACGGGACCTTGGTTGTGGTGGGCGACGGGGCCTTGGCGAACAGACGACAGCCCACGGGCGGAGCGAACACTGGACTTGGGAAGGGCTCCACAGTGGACAGCGTCCGTCAGTCGGGCTGTTCGCCAGAATCCGATGAAGTTATGCAGGGAATCTCAGGCAGGCTCCGTGGGAAAGGCCGGGGCTGGTGGCAGTAAAGGGTGGATGGGATGGATGGCTGGCTGATCCACTCAACAGCGACCTCCCATGGGCAACTGATGCGTGGAAAGCAAGCACTGAACCACTGCCAGGTACTTTCGGCACCTTAGTCTGTTGGGTTGGCATCGTCGGATAATGCGACGGCGGCTGCTGCAGGGACGGGGACGGCATTTCACTGGTACTTTTTGATGCTGCAGCTGCTGCAGAGTGTCGTACTTTGGGACAGAACAGGCCCAGCTGCACGTAAAAAAGCTACCCGACATTCTTAGCAAGGCAACAGAGTTCCTGAGGTAGCTAACTTGGGAGATGGGTTGCGTTCCCAAACCTCAGGTTCCAAGGTTAGACAGAATACTAGCGGATGATGTACCGACTGCCTTGGTTTGGTGGAGTGCCGACCACCTGATGTCGCCAACCAACCTTCGGCCGATCTTTTTTGGTCGGCGCGCGTCACTGATAAAGCACTGCTTGCCAGGGTTCACCTGTCAGGGTACATGGGCTCCAGGTATCTTTGCCCAGCAACATGCTGCTCCAGCCCCATTTTGCATGCAGCCCGTATTGAAAGTGCGGCGCCCGTTCATAAAAAAAATCCAGCCCCCCTTCCTCTTCGCGACCTTGAAGCTCGCCCCGGCCATCCACGCTTCACACGGCTACAGCCTCGACACAGCAGGTGCCTTCATTCTGTCATCTGCAAACCGCCTTTCCCTTCTGCTGCAGCCCTCGGCGGTATTGCGCATCGCCATCGACTCTGGTTTTTTCCTATTCGGCCAATTCCATCGCAACCCCCGCCACTCGTTATTCCAGCCAGGCCCATCATGTCTGACTTCGACCACTTCGGTAGCTCCGATGAGGAGAATGCCGAGATCAAGAAGCTTCAAGCTGAGGTGGTACGTGACTGCGACATCGCCAGCGTCGCACCTGCCGTTTCGACCAATGGGCCATTTGCTAACATTTGTTGCGCTTGCAGGACACCGATCCCGATAACTTCGAGCACTGGGAGAAGCTTGTACGCGCCTGCGAGGGTTTGGAGGGCGGCCTGAACCGCAACTCCAGCCCCCAGGCCCTGGGGACTCTGCGCGATGCCTACGACCGATTCCTTCTCAAATTTCCCCTGCTCTTTGGCTACTGGAAGAAGTACGCCGATCTCGAGTTCAACATTGCAGGACCCGAGTCGGCCGAGATGGTACGTGATTGTCGCATGGCGGCGCATCCCGTCGCAAAACATTCCTCCCTTGGCTCCCGAGCTGTCGCTAACACGCCGCGTTCTTCCAGGTCTACGAGCGAGGATGTGCTAGCATCACCAATTCTGTCGACTTGTGGACCGACTACTGCTCCTTCAAAATGGAGACCACTCATGTCCCACACCTCGTCAGAGAGTAAGTATAGATGGTCGGCTTTCCTTCCCCTTAACATCACCATCACCACAGCACGCCTCATCGGCCGCTCAAGACCTCGAACGAGCGATACACTGGCCATGCCCACCGCCTCTCCAAGTATCCGACGGTGAGAAATGCCAACAGCAGCCCCATTGTTGGGATGCCCTCTCACACTACTTTACCAGGCTCTGTTCATTTCCACTTGACGATGACCTCATCCGTTCTCCGCTTCACGCTTCACGTCGCATCTCCACCATACCGCTCTCCTTGGAATGCTTTGGACTTGGACTCGCTAGTTGATTTTTCTGATACCCCTTCCTGTATATCCCGCCTTCCCCATTGCTTTGATCACTCCCTCCCCCTCTTTTGTTGGCCGTTTACTGACCCCGTTCTTCAGGTTGTTCGAACGTGGCGCTACCTGTGTTGGCCTGGACTTCCTCGCCCACCCATTTTGGGATAAGTACATTGAGTACGAAGAACGACAGGAGGCGCAGGACAAGATCTTTGCAATCCTTTCCCGCGTCATCCACATCCCGATGCACCAGTACGCCCGGTACTTTGAGCGTTTTCGCCAGCTTTCTCACAGCCGTCCCGTTACCGAACTGGTTCCTGCCGAAACACTCGACAGGTTTAAGGCCGAGGTAGAGGCAGAGGCTGCCCAGTATGCAGGCGTGCAGCGAACAGAACTCGAGGTGGAGCGTGACATCCGCACCAAGATCGACGCAATGTACTACGAATACTTCACCCAGACTCAGAACGAAACCAACAAGCGGTGGACGTACGAATCCGAGGTCAAGCGCCCCTATTTCCACGTCACGGAGCTCGAGAATCCGCAACTCGTCAACTGGCGCAAGTACCTCGACTTTGAGGAGTCTGAGGGTGACTTCACGCGCACAGTCTTCCTCTATGAGCGATGCTTAGTTACCTGCGCATTCTACGATGAGTTCTGGTTCCGTTACGCCAGATGGATGTCGGCACAGGAGGACAAGGATGAAGAAGTTAGAATCATCTACCAGCGCGCCGCCACTCTGTTCGTGCCCATCAGCCGTCCAGGCATCAGGCTTCAGTGGGCCTACTTTGAGGAAAGCTGCGGTCGTATTGACATTGCGAGGGACATTCATGCCGCGATCCTCATGGGCCTGCCTGACTGCATCGAGGCCATCACATCGTGGGCTCATCTCCAGCGTCGCCAGAGCGGACTGGACGCTGCCATTGAGGTGTTCAAGGCACAAATCGACTCTCCACAGGTTGACATCTTCACCAAGGCTGCGCTGGTGACTGAATGGGCGTCTTTCCTTTGGAAGGTCAAGGGTTCCACTGAAGAGGCGCGTAACGTGTTCCTGAAGAACGTGCAATGGTATGCCGACAGCCGCGTCTTCTGGGACAAGTGGCTGGAGTTTGAGCTCCAGCAGGCCACCAGCACCGAGGTTGAGGACCAGCATGCCGAGCGCGTCAAGCAGATCTTTGATGAACTTCGGAGCAAGAGCCGCCTGTCGGCCTCAACAAAGAAGGACTTGTACCACGTCTACCTGTCCTACCTTCAACAGCGAGGCGGTAAGGATGCCATGAAGCAATTCTTGGCCATTGACCGGGAGATCTACGGGTAAGGGTTCTATGATCCATACATCGGTGAGGATGTAAGCTAATATGTCACAGTCCTGGATCCATCTCTGTCCTCGCCAAGGCCAAGTCCGGCAAGGAAAACGGCGTCGGGGGAGGCGAACTGGATGACGCGACGAGACACCGTGCGGAGGCCAGATACCTCAAGTACTACGAACTGCCCAACGAACCAGATGCCGAGGGCCAGGGAACGGCACCATTCAACTAAACGACGTCTTTATTTTCTGAACACTTTCGGGAGTTACCGGATTTGGCACGTCCTGGAGGCATTTCTCGACTTTCTTGTACTATATGACTCGATTTGACGACGGATTGAACGCGGGTGGCTGGCCTCGGGAAGTTGTACTGTATGCAGCGTGTACGAGGTGCTCCAGATAGAGAGACCGCGCCTACAGGGGGGCGACGACATGGCGGAGGCTGTTTGCTTAGGGCCCAAAAGGATCGCAGGTCGCATGATACCGGCTCTCATGATTTGTGCGGCATGTTGCCTCACGAATATTAATTGCGCAATAACCGTTAAACAAACCTTTTGATGATGAAGACCTTGACGTAAAGTGATGGCGGGGATTTCTCAATGCGACCAGTCGCCGAGTTATGTATTGCCCGCAGCCCGATGGGACGGTTAAGGTACGGGTAGCACCGCCGATTGAAGACCGGGAGGCACCGAGGTCCCCGATAATATCCCCACGGGAGCAGGGTTGAAAGTGCCGGTCTGTGCCCACTGTTTGGACCGCCAGCGGCTGCGGTGTCGACGTGCTCTAGAAGGACTCTTGGAAGCAATGTGTGAGTGGTTCTCGAACTCTCATTATACTCTGTCGGGCGCGTTCGAATTATTTGTTCAACGGGCGTTGGGCATCAGACTTTAACAGCTTTTGGGATGCAAACAAATGGACAAGAGGTTGATTGGTAAGTTTAGCAGGGGTCCTGCAAGAAAAGAAGCCGCAGGAAGTTTTTGCCTTTTTTTAGTGTCGACGCGCTGGGGGTGCGTCAAGTCGCGCGCCCTACGGAAGAGTAGATATTTTTCCCGAGGACGCTCCGGCCGCTAAGCTAGGTGCGTTTTCAGCCCTCTGCTGTCGGCTCGGAATGAAGTTCGGAACTGAGGGTGTAGGTGAGGCCGAAGATGGATGGATGGCTGGCGTTTGTCATGGCGTGAGCTGGGGGAGGGAGCATCCGAACCCGTGGGAAGTGGAGGAGTCGGGGGTAGGCGATGCCAGCGCAGGCAACGGCGGGATGGCGACAACGGCAGTCAACGTGTTAGAGGGGCCGACGAAATGCGTTTTCCCATGTGCAGTGTGTTCCCGAAAGCCGAGTGCCGCGGAGACGCGCTGATCTAAAGTGTGCTGTTGGATGTGTGCTCAGGGAACATCGGTTGGCTTGGGTTGTGTCACGATAGGGCGTAGGAATTGACGAAAAAAAAGCACACATTCGAGGGTATATTCAAGGAGAGGAGACGGGCGAAAATGGTGAGGCAAAAGGCCGAGTCAGCCAAGGGCCGAGTTTTGGGAGGTGGCCGTTTCGCAGTGATTGAGCACGTTTGCTGCGTCGCCATCGCCGTATCAAAATGGTACATGGGTACTTGCGACTACGAAGTCAAGTCAGGTCAGAATTGCGCGGGGAGACTGTTCTTCCCGACAGGCTACAGCAGCAGCCCAGCAGAGCCCGCTCCCCATCCTACATCGGCGCCCCATCTGCGCATCTGGGGCGGCGGGCTCGAGTCAACGCAGAAACTGGGTCCCCCGGGAGATTTATTACAAATACTACAAGATGAAAGGGCGAGCTGGTTGCGCAGCAGCGGCTCTCGACCATTCAGCGTGGGGTCAGGCAATCGGCTGGCTTTGCCGAGAAAATCACTTTCCGTTGCTTGATATGACTGACCCTGATGTCGTGGGGATGAACGAGAATCGTCATCGACGAACGAACCATGACCGGAGGTCGACGGAGAACGACGGTTGAAAGACCCATTGCGGGATGCTGCCGGCCGCCCATTGGAGGCTGCTATTTGATTTCAAGTGTCATATGCCAAAGTTAGAATTGTTGCTCTCATAAGCAATCCAGTTCTGGACGCAATTCGGGGGTTTCTCTGCCTTGCCCCGGCCTCCATTATCGGAGCAAAAAAAATTGTGAATGCAATGGAAGCCACATGGCCAACTCATGCTAGCGCATGTGTCAGCGTTTCTCGGGCTGTAAGACTCAGATGCTGTGCAAAGGATAATACCTCGTCCTCGGCCTTGTCTCTGACAGGTACAACAGCACCAAGCCCAGCACCGGCACGTTTCGATATCGGTCGCTAGCACGGAATTTCTCGACTTTGTTGGTGAGCAAACTAGCTCCATTCGGCTTACAGCATACACCTCCCACAGGTGCAGGGTAAGGTACCGCGCGCACACCTTCCCGTGCCGTCACAAGGCGAACGAAGGAGACGACGACGTAAAAGGTCGGGATCCACCACAAACGTCGTGGGAACCCACATGGCGAAGCAGGAGGCAGTCGGGCCCTTGCCCGGGGGGAGAAGAAACAGTGGCTCCCACGCATCTTGGCCGCCCCCGGTCCCCTGTTTCTGGACTGGAGCTCACGAATCTGACCAGTCAGAGGCCATCAATTTCTCATTTCACACGTCGCCGTCCTCCCTCGGTCCCTCTCTCACTTTGAGGTCTGTCTCTCCTTGGGAAGTCGGGGTCCTTGGTCCTTGTCTTGTGCTCTCACCCCCCTCCGGAATGGTGCCAGAAGGCGGCCTTCGAAGCCGAGCAGCCTTTGCCTGGTGTGCCAGCTCGGCCAAGCCTAGGGTACACAGGTAGTTCTCAAACGCCCCCGGGCAACGGGCAGGAACATTCGGGAGTCTCTTTTAAACTGTCAATTGCTCCCTTTCCCGCCCCTCCCCGCTGGAGAGTTTCCATTTCTCTTTTTTTTCTTTCTACGCTCCATTGGAATTGTGATCTTACTCTTGATATCCCATACACACCTCAAGCTCAAGCAAGGTTGGTCTCCAGCTATTTCCAAACCCCCAACACAGCTTTCATACCTCATATCTTCTTGTTGAGGAGTGGTGTTCTTATATCGGCTGGTTACCCGGCACACACACACACACACACCGCAATCCTGCTCACGATAAAGCCCAAAACTAACACAACCCCAACCAGATGGCAGCCTCTACCAGACAATTTGCCCGCGCGGCAATGCGCACCACCTCTAGAAACACTTTCGCCGTCGCTCCTCGCCAGGCTTTCCGCCAGCAGGGCCGCCGCTTCTACTCTTCCGAGCCCGCCTCCAAGTCCGGAAGCTCCACCTGGATCTGGCTCACCGGTGCCGCGGTCGTTGGAGCCGGCGGCTACTTCTACACCCGCGAGGGCGGCGTCTCTGCCGGCTCGACCCCCAAGATCGTCAACCCCACTAAGGCCGACTACGAGAAGGTGTACAAGGCCATTGCCGACCGCCTCGTAGAGAACGACGAGTACGATGACGGCAGCTACGGCCCCGTCCTTGTCCGTCTGGCCTGGCACGCCAGCGGCACCTTCGACAAGGAGACCGGCACCGGTGGCAGCAACGGCGCTACCATGCGCTTCGCCCCTGAGTCCGATCATGGCGCCAACGCCGGTCTGAAGGCTGCCCGTGACTTCCTCGAGCCCGTCAAGAGTACGTTGCTTCCGATTCGAAGTCAATAGCCCCCGCCAGCAATGCTAACCTCTCGCAGAGCAATTCCCCTGGATCTCCTACTCCGACCTCTGGATCCTCGGTGGCGTCTGCGCCATCCAGGAGATGCAGGGCCCCGTCATCCCCTACCGCCCTGGCCGCAAGGACGGTGAGGCTGCTGCCTGCACCCCCGACGGCCGTCTCCCTGACGCCTCCAAGCGCGAGAAGCACCTTCGCGACATCTTTTACCGCATGGGCTTCAACGACCAGGAGATCGTCGCCCTGGCCGGTGCCCACGCCCTTGGCCGCTGCCACACCGACCGCTCCGGCTTCGACGGCCCCTGGACCTTCTCCCCTACCGTTCTTACCAACGACTACTACAAGCTGCTCCTGAACGAGAAGTGGCAGTGGAAGAAGTGGGACGGCCCTGCCCAGTACGAGGACAAGGGCACCAAGACCCTGATGATGCTTCCCGCCGACTACGCTCTGATCCAGGACAAGACCTTCAAGAAGTACGTTGAGCAGTACGCCAAGGACAATGATTCCTTCTTCAAGGACTTCTCCAACGTTATTGTCAAGCTGTTCGAGCTTGGTGTCCCCTTTGCCCAGGGCGAGGATCAGCGTTGGACTTTCAAGCCCACTTGGGCCGAGTAAATGTGCCGCTGGTGAGGTGGGAAAGCAAATTTGATTTGAAAGCGATTTACCAAAACCACGAAAGGTTAGACATAGAAGAGAGATATCCGCTCGGAGAGAGGAGGAAACTCGAGAGGCGAAAGAGCAATGCCCTCGAACCTGGTTTTCAGCGTCAGTCCGATCCTGGACAATGTTTTCATAGTGTTGCCATGTCCATAGTTCCTGTACAACAATCAACGTGAACCTTGAAAGACAAGACAGCAGGCCACCGATGAAGTCGCCCGACGGTACATTACTTGAGATGGCATGCAGTCGAGATAAAGATGAGATGAGGGGAAAGATCGAGGTCGGATCGAGCGGTGCTAATAATAACCGCCTGACCCCTTCTCCAATCCAAGCCCTACCGGCCGGCTTCCCCTCATCATTATCCCACATGGCCAGGCGACACACACCTCTCCGGTTTTCCAGACGGCAGCAGGGACTGTTTCTTCGCGTCATGGGTGTTTTGAGCGCAGCCAATCCCGACGGATTGGTAGCTCACCACCACCACCACCACCATCGGCACCTGCCTTAGTGCGTTTCCCCAGACGTTGGACATGGGGTTTTCCCCCGCATTTAGGGCGGGAAGGGAAGATCTTCTGCGTCTTCATTCCTCGGGTCCCGGTTCGGATTGTATTGATGACGCACCACTTGTCTTGTTTAGCGATGGCGATTTCTTCTTTGAGGGGGCAGCGTTGGGTCCAGGTACGGAAGCAACCCAGAAGCTCTGCCAACGGTTGAAAACGAAAGACATCGTCTGGAAATCGTTCGTATGCGTGCTATGATCTGGGGAAACCAAAGATGAGACGGTGCTGGGGGCGGTTGATGCAGGTGCACCGTCACCTCGCCTCATCTCCCTCCCTCCCTGTTCGACCCAAGACGCGGGCATGATCTGTACCCGGCAGTCAA